CGGTGTCTTCGCAGCCTTTTTTGTCTAAGACAAAGAATTTATCCATACGTTTAATGACTTTATATGGTCCGTCGTATGGCGGTCCCAAAGGGCGAGGCACAGAGTCACGACGAACAAATTTATGTGAAGAAGACTTCAAACACGGTTAAACAAAGGCTTCTATGGACTGTGGTTGAAGGGGAGCAGGTTTGACTGAACGCATTGCGTTTGTAAGCCTGCTGACTAATGAGGCGTGATCCACCTCTGGTGGGAAGTTGCAGGGAGAAACAAACTGACCTGACAGTCGTAGTGTTGTGCCGTACACTAACTCGGCGATAGTACAACCAGTATCAGTTTTCAAGGCGTTTCGTATCCCTAGGAGAACTCACGGAAGGGATTCAGTCCAACGTGCACTGTTTGCAGCTGATAAACCAGCCTTCAACTGTCTGTGCAGACGCCCTACCATACCATTTGCTTGAGGCTGTTGTCCTAAAATGCATACAACCTATGATTTTAGTCAGGAGGAAGAAAAAGCAGCTTTCGAATTGCCGCCCACGATCAGCTGTTATGGAGGATGGGCATCCGAAACTTGCGATCCATCGTCGCACAAAGACGCGTGCGGCCGTTTCAACAGATACATCCCTTAGGGGTACTGCTTCAGGCCTTCGTGTGTAAAGGTAGATCAAGGTTAAATATGGGTATATCTATGAGATTCTGGAAGGAGTCCAACCAAATCTATATGAACGTGTTCGAAACGAGCGTCAGGTATAAGAAAGGTGCCAAGAGAGCTTTTGGTATGTCTTACTTCCTTGCACTTTTGACAAGCTAGGTATGTGTACGCCCATCCCCTTACTTCTTTATTAACACCAGGCCAACAAAACCGACTAGTTACGAGCCTGATGGTAGCTCGAATACGTGGGTGTGACAAGCCATGCAACGTATTGAGGACGTTACGGCGATAACTTTTAGGCACGGTGGGGCGAGGAGTTCTCGTGGAAATGTCATATAGAATAGCATCTCTTCCCATACCTAAGGGTTTCTCGGCTAATTAAAGAGTTGTTTTCGATAACTCATGTTGAAGCTCGGTATCTCCGTTTTGAAGACGAGCCAGTTTTACAAAGTCTATGCTTTCTATTTGGGTGAGGGAACAAACGCGTGACAAGGCATCTGCTACAGTGTTGTTCACTCCGGATACATGGCGAGTATCCGACGTGAACTGTGAAACGTAGTCCAGTAGTCATGATTCTTTAGGTGAATACTTATCTGAAACTGAGTTCAGAGAGTACGTCAGAGGTTTGTGGTCAGTGAAAACTATAAATTCACGATCCTCCACCGAACGTCGAAAATGACGTATAGCACAGTACATAGCCAATAGTTCTCCGCCAAATGTGCTGTATTACCTTCCTGCTAATTGAAGGCGCCTCGAGAAAAAGGCGATTGGTTGCCACTCTCTGTTAACTAGTTGTTGCAGAACTGCGCCGACTGCAGTGTCTGATGCATCAACCGGGATACTTAACGGTGCTGTTGGATCCTGATACATTAGAAGTGTGGCATCTGCAATAGCTTTCTTAACCCGAGTGAAAGCATTTTGGGCAGACGCGTCGAGTTCTATGGACTTGTTATTCCTTCGAACAAGGTCTGTTAATGGCTGAATCAGAGAAGCACAGTTCGGAATAAACCGTCGATAATAACTTACCAAGCCGTTGAAAGTGCGAAAACTTTTCACTGTCAATGGCAATGGAAAGTTCAGTACCGCCTCAAATTTACCAGCCAGAGTGCGAATGCCCTTGTAGTCAGCGGTGTGCCCCAGAGAGTCGAGTGAGTCAGTGCCTATCTGACACTCTTGAATATTGATGGTGACACCATGTATGCGTAACCTTTCAAATGTTAAATCCAAATGTCTAAGGTGAGTTTCCTTGTCTGGGCTGGTGATGAGGCAGTCGTCTAAGTATGTGTATGCAAAGCCGAAACCGCGAAATACTTGGTCGATGAGGCGTTGGAATGTTTGTGCCGCATTCCCGAGACCGAATGGCATACGTAGGAATTCAAAAAGTCCGAAAGGCGTGATGATAGCCGTTTTCGGAATATCTTCTGGTGCCATCGAGATTCGGTTATGCGCCTTAACCAAGTCGATTTTAGAGAATATAGTTGCGCCAGATAATATTGCCGACAAGTCATGTACGTGGGGCAATGGATAGAAATCAGGGGTTGTTTTGGCGTTCACTCACCGGTAATCACCAGTGGGTCGCCAATCGTTGCTATCTTTTTTTCGGCACCATATGCAGTGGCAATGCCCATGGGCTATTCGATGGCCGAATGATGCCAAGGGTGAGCATATGGTCGAACTCACTTCTAGCGGGTCTCAGCTTGCCAGGAGCAAGTTGCCGTGCTTTAGGTGTCACGGGCTGGTTATTCACGGTAGATCGTTAGACCGGTAATTAAGTTCCGGGTATTTATCAACAATCGGTTGGAGAGTTGGATCAAGGATTGCCTTCATCTTAACGAGTGACAAGCTGGGACCTACGTAGGTGATAACTTTGATAGACAGTCTAGTAGCATTGTCAATCAGTCATTTTCGGCGAACGTCTACGAGTAAATCATGATGATTAAGTAGGTCCGTGCCAATGATGGTCATTGTGACGTCAGCGAGAAAGAAAATCCACTGAATAGGTTTGCGTAAACCTACGTTCAGACAGACGTATTTCCTACCGAAGCTTGCAATTGGTTTTCCATTCTCAGCCTGTAATTTGAAGGTAGGTTCCTTCTGTCGATCTGCTGCTGTAGCAGGAAGGACTCTGACTTCGGCGTCTGTGTCGACTAAGTATCGGGTCTGGCTGATCACATCACGAATGTAAAGTAGGCGGCTAGTGACACCGGCGACGGTTGCCACTAACGCTTACCTGCAGGATAGTTTCCCACAGTCTTTGAGAAATCACTTAAATTACAAGGTTTTCGGCAACATTTCGCTTCTTGTCCATAGATGTTGTGATACCAGCACCAGTCAAGGTTCTTTAGTGAACGTGGCTTGGACTTAGGTCCACCACGTGCATTTCGCCGTTGAAGGGAGTTCGAACGACGGCAGGTATTTTTGACCTAAGCAGCTGCTGGATCGAGTTGTATAACTCCATCATTGCTCGAAGTCTGTTCAGCAACTGAGCATATTTCAGTGACTGGCCATTTAGTTATTTCTGGAATTTTACCCGCAGAAAAAGCTAGTCATTTACAATAACGCCCTAAAGTGTCACAAGTACAGCCTGCGCTGACTGTGGCAGTTCGGATGAGAAGAGTTCTTTGAAAAGTCCTTCATCAAACTGACGTTGGCCAATAACTTCCCTCATTCTTGTAAGCATGCTCACGGCTGACTGATCCCCTAACTCGACGTTGCGAAATAATTCGTCCAGACGCCGTCGATCCGTGAGAACGCTTCTCCTTGGGAGGGTTGCTTTAAGCAACTCTTACGGGTTACTTACCTCTGGGCTCGACATCTGCACAGTTACGCATTTGCTGAATTCCCGTGGTTGGGCGTGAATAACTGCACGGAACTGTGAACGTTAACCAGGTATTCATGCTCACTAAAATCAGACTCAGCTATCTGAAACCATGATTCAGCATTATCTGGTTAAAATGGTACGAGCTGAATGGTTTTGGCGGTTGAGCGAATACAGATGACCTTAGGAGTATGATCACTGATCACGAAATATATATATTTTGAAAATAGTACAAGAACAAATAGAAAATGGAACTAACCCACCGGATTTGTCTGTGTATTTACCAAAGATGAAGTTCGCGGTTGGGCTCACCACTTTAGAGGCTGACGGTATTGACGTTCGCGGATTGTACGGAGTATACTAACGCAAGATCTAATACCAACAACTTCCATAGTATTCGTTCCGCCTAAACCAAAGGCAAAGCGGAAGATCACAATTGATCGTCCAAATTACGAGATATATTTTGGGACCAAATCGGAGTGCGAGATGATTGCTTAGCTGGCTAGTGGTCGTGCACGAACGTGACACGACGGAGTACCAAATGGCGTGGATGCTTGACCGGAAGCCTTCAGCTAAACAAGTCGACTTAAACAGTGAGAGTCAGCATCCAATGTTCAGTGATGATTGCTGTGGTCAATAATTTTGAAGAATTATTCACCACTGCAACACAACTCCATTATTTTTCATCACTTGATTTGATTGGTAGTAGTATTTTCCATATTTCCGGTATGGGTGATGAGTCTTTCCTATTGCATGTGTTAGGTGTAGACTCGATGAACAAGGATTCAGTAATCAACCTCTCTCTCTCTCCACCTACATAGATTACTTCTTAGAATTTCAACCCTCTCCCACACAACCACACAATAGGGTGAGAGATCTAATTGACTTTTGACAAAATTTTCATAGTCTTTATGTCTGCCGTCCACCTATTAGAGTCTTTCAGACGTTTTTTGTCTCCCAATTCTTCAAATGATCAACATGAATAAAAGCTAATCAGTCCAGACAGAATGGTTATTAAAAACAATACACGCACTGTGTGCAACAGACTGTCTTCCTAATCCGACTGCAGTGCAACTCTCACATACTTTATCAATAAGTTTCAACGAGACTCGTCCCTGATTCCTTATCACAGTCTTCTGTTCACAAAGCCTACCGATTCATTTACTTGTTTTCATTTCTAGATATCGAACTTTAGTTTTTTTCTTTCACATTTGCATATTTGCCAGTGAGCACACTAAGCAAAAGAATAGCCATCTCTCTTTTAGAGCACACCTGAAGGGGGGTAAAATGCAGAGGTTTAACTCACGTCACATCAGGTTTAGGTCTCAACACTCAGAACCTAATATAACCAACCTCCCATGACATTGGCTTCAGAGTTTATCAAAGCCACGGCATATGAGTGAAAAGACGAACCACATGGACGCTCAACGAGGATCAAAAAGCGTTTCCTCAATATAAAGAAAGCGAGTTAAAAAATCTAGTTTGTCCGAGCTCGTAAATTGGATATTGGAAAAGGTACTAATACAATTCAAGGTCAGTTGTTGCTGTTTCCCACGTTCTATTGCATTTGGTAGTGTATATTGTTTTTGTAGATATCTCTTCGTAGACATACGAAATCTAAATCACAATGGCATAAAACACGTAATTCATAAGTACTTTCAGCATGCTATTTTTGTAAGGATGCGATTGGTGTAGAAGCCCAAGCTAGCAACAATTCTAAACTTATTCTAACCTATTCTTCGATAATGGATTTTATGGTAAATGAACATTTTATCTACCCACTATGTTCTGAAATAACGCTGATTGTGCTTAAAAAAAGAGCTGGGTGCTGAATTAAGTCTTTTCGTTCTGAAATAACGCTAGTCCATGCTTAATATGTCCTGTGGTGGCTGGAACAATGCTGATAAGCAAACCCAGTTGGTTCTGATTTACTCCTGAAAATGCCTAAAATAGAACATGGTGCTGAATTAGTGCCAGTCATGCTGAAAACCAGCACTGAGTTCTGGTCTGTGCCATTACAGAATTTATTTCAGAACAGATTCAGAACTTACTATAAAATGTTAGAATTATTTCAGAATTAGTGAGATTTAATTCAGCATTATAGTAAGTTCGGGAGTTTACTAGGCTGAGATGATAAATATACCACCATTGGTATAATTCTTAACTGACTACTGTATAAACCTATAGGCTATAGCCTTGTAGAAAAACTCAGCGCTTATAATTGTGGCATGGATATGTTTTGAATTAAAGAAAGAGATCATGATGACGGCTTCGGGACAAGTGGAAAAGTTCCATGTATGACCCTGGAAGCATATGAAGAGTATTGTCTTTTATTGCACGTCTACGTATCAGCTAAATTAACCTGCTCAGTTTTCCCCGTGGTAGTTTTAAAATGCTTCCAAATCTGTACTAAAAATCGCATTAATTATTTGAAATATCATATCGCGATATGTGGACTGTGTTATTTCTAGGAGTTGATTTAGGTCCATGGTTAATGTTGTAGTTGGTGACCCAGTTAGGTTTCCGTAAGGATCATTGTTGTTTGAATTTAAACTTTGTCAGCCATCACTGTAAACCTAATTGACGTGCAAACAACCAATCATACTGTTAATCATGAACGGGTGCGATACACCCCCAATCTGATTTTCCGTTGTTTTGCACGAATAATGGACATTGTAAACATATGTATGTGACAGAACCATGCTAATCAAGGAATATTGCTGTGCGATTGGCGGATATGCTTGGAGATGCAGTTTATTTCATAATTCCTGTCAATTGGCACAGTTTCGTTCATATAGACAATCACACCTACACCTTAAACTGTTCTGAATACCAGGATTTCAGCATATCACATCTCTGGGATCTTGGAAATGTTCTTGATACGAGTATGTTTACTGTCCCAGCAACTGTGACGTTACAGGCCTCTGTATTGGCCAATGATGCGTAATAAATGGAATTTTCGTGAAGGGTAGTTTCGCGTTACCTATAGGATTTAAATACCATGCTAGGGAGATTTCCTCTCCAAACGACTACTACATCTGTATGCAACTGTCAGTCGCACAACATCACTCCTTAATCGACATAGTTCTGTTCCAGTAATTCACTACTTACAGAATATTCCTATCCAAACATTTAAAAGCCAAAAGAAGGTTCGAGGTCTTCTTAATGAATTCCTCGTCTGGTTCCACAAGTGTATATATATATATACATTTTGCAATACTCGCCATTAACACCATTGTCTTTAAAATAATATCGATCTTCTAAGATGATATTTCATGAAAGATGCATTAGTTATAATAAGCTTAAAAAATACAATACTAAATAGAGAATCAGATAAAATCAAGAAAATTTATGCAACAGATCAAGGATAGTTAAATAACGATGGCAAAGGCAAGGGAGGCGTCTAAATCAACTTCTTCTGGATACATAAGTTATACTTCTGAATATGGATTCCGATGGCTTCAGCAGTGTGCAACAGATGAAGTCGTAAGGCAAAATTAAGGCTAGCCGGAATGCAGTGGATAACTTTAAAAGCCTTGTTGAGCTGGACGAGGAATTTATCGAGAAGAATATTCTTTGCTCGAACCTTGATTTACGCGATAATTGAGGCGAATTGTGAATTTAATGCAAACAAGGCAATCGTGATTAACGATTTGATCAATTCACAGTGGTAGCTGTAGGTTAACTTCGCCTTTTATTACTTCCCGAACAATGCAGATGCTGAACGCAAAGCTTGAAGTGAAAAACGTCGATAAACTAATAGATGCGATGACATGTGTCAAGCATATTAGCCCGTTCCACTCTTTAGCGCAGTTTATCAGTTTAAGAATTATTTGTGTTGAAATGAATATTGTCAAGATCAGGATTTGGTAAGGACCCATGTGGATACTGATTACTCTTGTAAGGCGCTTAGGAAAGTGGTTATTCAGTAAACGATCCCATCCCAACTGAAACCAATGTTCACAGACTATAATTACGAAAGCTCAGTCCATTGCTGCTGCATACATTCCTTCACAACTTATCCTCATCTTAATGTCTTAAGTGTCGATTGCCTTTGCGCTTTTTTATTCTACTTTATAACTTTCGGCCCAATCACTTTCACTTGTCTTCATTTGTTATACCTACTTGATTTGAAAGTGTGAAGCATGATACAGTAAAAACAATATCGTTTTGTTTTTCATTCATTGGGAAATACAAAAACCTTCATTATAATGAATATCATATACCCAATACCCAAGTTTTTTCAAACTGTTAAGAGTGAACTTGGTTTGGACATATATAATATGATACCTGAGGTTTACTCAATAACGTTATGTTTCACGTTGGCAGTGTTTATATGCCTTGCGTCAGTATAATAAAATAAGTCAGTTTTTATGAGAGAATACAGAATATCACATTGTCACAAGAGGTACCAAAAGTTGAATCCATATAAATCTTCAGTTGGTACTCTGTATATGAGATTTATTACGTAATTGCCTATCACTACTTTTAACCTCAGGAGCTCTGAAGTCCTTCGTTTCATCAAGGTGCAAGTTAATAAAATACCCACAAATAAAACAATGAAACCTGAAAATATGAAGGCAGAAAAATCATGTTAATGAGTAAGGGTTAAAATATAATGGATTCCTTATGATTGATATTGATCGTATGGAAATGAAGCAAAGTCGCATAAGTTTTTGTGTAGGAAGTTTGTGGTAAACGCTTTCTAAAAGCTGAAAACATGATCCGCTTTTCTAGGACTACTGTTCTGAATATTACGAGCGTACAAAGGAGATATTTTAATTTTGAGGTGTTGTGAATGATGCTTAGAAAGTTGGTTGTCATCCAAGTTTTTTTTACTGTCAACCACCCAGATTTTTTCACTAAACTACGTGCATTTTTCACATCTCATTAAAACTTCAACAAATCCAACTGCTGATGTTAAAGTAAGATTTTTAAAGATGTCTGTACATGATGTTATCTTGTACGTCTAATGCAAGTTGTACAGTCAATATTCATTCCCTACTCAGTCTGTAGGCGAATATCAGGTATCTGCAAAAGTATTTTTTGAGGATTCTGTATGCCACTTCATCCGTCTATTCAAAAATCTGTGGTTTGTTTTTTCAATTTCACTGTCTTATTCCTAGCTTCATATTCTGATGCCGACTAGGTCAATAATAAAAGAAACGTTAAGCGCTCATGTTTATTTGTTTACAAAATGTTTTATGTTGATGATTATTTTATTCGGCTCTTCTGTGTTTGATTCTTACAGCTGCAGGTTATAAATGCCAAACCGATTACCACAGTATTTGATAATCAAAGGATTATAGCTGTCTAAAGATGGTTAAATTCATAGTGGAAAAACAAGGTGACTCTCCATCTTCAATACTAGATTTAAATAAACCCAAAAAATCTAAAGTCCATAAGCATCAAGATGATCTTAGACCTAACAACAGTAACGATAAAAGTGTTTCTAGCATACTGTCAGAAAAGGTGAATGTTCTTAAGAAATTGGCAGAAAGTATTAAAAATAAAGAAAAATACAGTTCTGTATCTACTGCTGAGAGTATGGATACGTCGTGCAATCTAAATGCATCTCAGAATGATACCATGTTAAAGTCTCAAGTTTGTGAAACAGTTATTTCGAAAAAGCTTACAAACAGCAGCAAAAACAAACAAAAGTGTGATGAAAGTAGTAAAGTTAAATTCAAGAATAATACTGCTAACTCAGTAAAAACCAAAAAGCGGAAACATAATTATGATTCATCATGCAATATTGAGAATGAAAATATTTCTAGTGATCACATCACATCCCATAAATGCAATGAAACTAAACGTAGTAACACTGAAGGGGAAGTTAAGCGAAAGTGTAAGAAGCGAAAATTAGAACATGACTCTTCACTGGGACTTCACAACCAAGGTGATTCCTTGACCAAGGCAGTTTCTAAAGGAACTCCAAAAAGTGAATTAAAGGATAAGATGACAGTTAAACATAAGTCATTGAAACCCAAACATGCTATACAAAAACCAGAAATGAGGAAATGGTATCATGAGTGTGTTGATGAAGAATATTTTACCAGTGATGATGAAAGTGCAAGTGAAACCGAAACTTTCCAGGATAGAAGGTCAGTTTCGTCCTTATATATATATATATATATGTATAAATTATATATAATTTCTTGTATAGCTTGATAATGATGTCATTGCCTTCCTATGTATTACTTATGAATTCAGCATTACTTTGGAAGTATGAGTAGAATGAATGGTTTTTCTGAAAATCTTTCCAATATTAATGTCAAAACAAAGCTTGGGTTTTGTAGTGTAGTTTGATTCCTTTAATCAATAAGTTTATATTGTGTAACGGAGTTTTGAGGAGTCCAGTGCTCACTGTCATGTTACAGTTAGGAACAGCAAATTTACACGACACATTAGTCGAAAAATAATCAAAGAAAGTTAAAAATTGCAGTTACGCTAAATATTAATTATTCCTGTGACCTCGACTGACTCACTGACTTATCAACTCAGTACTTTGCTCAAATCTAAAGCAGTTCAGTTCACCATACCTAAGAAAAGCATATAAAAGTAGCGAAAAGAAATGAAATTACAATGGACAAGAATGTACAGGGCAAAGAATAATTAGATGAAGACTAGTAAGAATTTTC